GCAAGAAATGCTTATAATGATGAATATTAGTAGGGGACAGTCTAACATGATATTGATTTTGAAAATGTCATGGTAAGACACCTTAGGGGTGAACCAAATGTGGACTTTCCTGCTTGCCCCATTTTCACTCCCTATACTCCCATTCATGAAAAAAAAGAAGAAGAAGAAGAAGAAGAAGAAGAAGAATAACAAGATGAATATTGATGTTTTATGAGTCTTGTTTAGTTGTTTTGATGTTGTTTGTTGTTTGTATTTGTATTGGGATATACTTTTATTTGAAACTTGTTGTAGTAAAAGACTTTTTATGTTGTGTTGTGAACTGAATCTGTAATAGTAATTATAGACTTTCACTTTTTCTGCATTTTTAATATTGTTAGTTTAGTTTTTTAGTTTTTGTATTTATGTTTTTAATTCTCTGCAAGTTCTCCATAATATTCTTTTTTATTTAATGCTTTAAAGCCTGTATGTAGTTTTACAGTTAGTACCTACAGTATACCAGAGCCTAGTTTCATAGTTAGAAATCCTCTATAGGCCAGTTTTTATTTTTCATGTAGTTATTGTTTTCTTTCACCTACTAAATTTTATATTAAAAATATTTTTAAAATCACTTAAAAATTTAAGTTTGGGGGAAAGAAAAATTTATTTTTAAAAATGAGTAAACTAAATTTTATTTTTTCCTCAATTAACTATATTTTTAAAATTAATTTATCATGACCTTGGATATTATAGTTTAACTTTAAATGACTATACTTCGGTTTATTAAGTATTGTGGTAAATTTAGGTAAAGCATTTTTAATTATGAATGTCAATTTATGAATGTCAATTCTAAAGTTCAAGATATTTGGTATGATAGGATAAGACTACGTTTTTCTATTTAAAGTAAAGAAAATTGTATTTTTAAAGTGTGTATTTTTTTAGAGTTTCATGTAAGAAGAAATGAATCAGACTTTATGAAAAATCATAAACTAATATGAATTTATAAAGTGAAGAAAGGTATAGTGTTTTAACTTTGAGAAGAGGATAGTGAAGTTCAAAATCATTAAAGGTTATCCAGATATAGTAATCCTTACTTGGAAAAAGAAAATAAAGAAATGATTGAAAAGATCCGAAAAGAAAAGAAAAAAGAGAAAGAAAAAAAAAAGAAAAGAAAAATTAGTGAGGTGAAGCTCGAGGAGATGCCTAATCAAAACTTGGCTTCACTTGAATCAACTTAAGGAAAGAGCTTTATTACATTTTCAAAACTTATATTGGAGTATTAGTAGTATTCATAGTAAAGTTTCCATGAAGTATTTTTCATATGACAATTTTAAATGTCTTTTACATAACAAATTGCAATTCTTCTTGAAATGAATAGAGATTCAGATATCTTAAAATTGATTGCCAAGTATTCCTAGACTTATAGTTATTAAAGGCTTATTCTTAAATTTTGCTATTCTATTTATTAAATAAAAGTATAGAAGTTATAAGTTAATATCTATCCTAAGTCATATGTTTTTTTGTAATAAAAGTGTCACTTGAGGACAAGTAATATTTATGTTTCGGGGATTTTAATACACCAAAATAATATATTATTTTAAGTACCTATTACCTATTTTATACTTACTTTTGGTGATATTGAACCTTAAAGATGGGTATTTTTCTGTTTTTGTTGCAGGTATATTATTTTTAGGCATTTGGAGCAAAAATGGTAAAAAGGATGAAATTTAGAGCCAAAACAACGAACTTTGGGATTCTAGCGCGTGATGCGCTAAATCAGCGAATGATGCGCCAAAATTCAGAGAACTGGCGCATGATGTGCCATATTGGCGCGTGATGCACCAGGAATGACATTTTTAAATTAAGGCGGTTTGAGACAAATTTTGCACAAATTTTCAAAGGGACACTTTTTCTATATACTTCTTAGAGTAATTCAATGCATCTAGACACTTTAAAAGGTCCTTTTATGAAGGGATATGACACTTGGATCAAATGACACATCTTTTGAATTTAAAAGAGTTGACCTTTAGAGGGAACTTTTCGAGTGAATTCTTTCAAGAGGAGGCCAAATTAAAGGAGAAGACTTCATAGAGTAAGGGGGGCTTCTGTGTATGACATGAAGGAGAGAAAGAAACTGGCGTGAGTTAGAGAGAGAGAAGAGGAGATTTTCTTCTAGGGTTGTAAGAGGAGGGGGAAGGTGAGAGATTTCTTCTTCATTACATTTTCTAAGAGAGAATTGGGAGTGATTGTGAAGAGAGAAAGGCTTGGAGAGAACTTCTACGGATTTGCTTAGGGAAGATCGTGAGATAAGTTGTATTTTTATTTCTTTTTTTTTGTAAACTTGTTTTTATTTATGAAATTTGTGTTTTCTCATATCCTTCTCATGAATTCTGAGTAGTCTTCTTTATCCTTCGCATACTTTGAATATATAGTTTTGTGAAGAATAGATTTTGTTTTCCATTGTTTTAAATGATAATAATTTGTGATGATTTGAACTCTGGTCTTCATTTACTTTTCGATACCTTTCGATCTGGCTTCGATCTGGCCAATTGAAATGTTAAAACTTGTTGAGAGACATATGTTCTTAAATGAGATATGATTTCTAAAACATAGAGAGAATCACATTAATTTTATGGGAGAGTATGTCATCCGTGAGATTGACTGCAAATAAATAGAGAAATATACTTTGTTGGGTGTAGAATTAGATATTTTAAGGTGACATTTTAAAACACCCAATTTGGTTTTGTTGATTAGAAACTAATGCGAGATTGTTAGCCCTCAATGATGGGCGTTGATGGGAGTATTAGGAGCTCTAGAGTGGCAGCCGGTATCCTCCCAGCCTAACCACAGAATTAGCGACCAAACTCTAGATTAGTCAATGTTATTTATAGCACTTGGAATACTTGGAAGATGGTAAATCATAGGATTGCTTCTATTTGGCACAAAGCAGTTTATATATATATATTCAAATGACTTCAATTTCTTCACAAAACATATACTCACTGTAAATGGGAAAGATGCTTTCTTAAATTTGAACTTTCCGTCACAACAAAAACTTCGTTTAATCTTTGCAATTTTACATTTGAAAGTATATTATTTAGTTTAGTTTAATTTCTGTAATCTTACATCTGCATTTTAATTAGCATTCACTTGAATAGTCAATTTTTAAACTTCACATTTTACTTTTATTTCTTGTTTTTATTATAAAATAAGTTTCATAATTAACTTTAGGATTTTTCAACTTCCCTGTAGGATCGATATCTAGGACTCCATTAGAGCCCTTTATTACTTAAATGATATGTATACTTGCATTGATATCAAAAGAGATTTGACAGTTTAAAAAGAGTTTTAAAAGATAAAATATTTTTATTTTTCTTAGGATTATATTGCGTATTTATTATAAATTTGCCTTCAACAAGTTTTTGGCGTCGTTTAGTGGTGCCAACTTCTTAAATATTTGCATATACAAATCTCATGTCAGTAGACCATATTTAAATATAAAAATTACATTCTTATTTGCTTCTAAGACAAGTTTTTAGCGTCATTACAAAATAAGAGATATAAGTAAGGAAAAATTAAAAATATAACCGTATACATAATAGTATTATCATATAAAATCTAAATCAATTCCCTACATGGTAAAAGATAAGCTCCAGAAAGCGTACGATGATAATCATCCCAGAGAGAAGTCTAGGCTGCCTCCTCCCATAGAGACGAGAGCCAACATAAGACGGAGGTTCAATCAAGTGACCAAGACCCATGCGAGTGATGGGTTAGAACCCCCGGTTCCAATGCCCCAGATATATTCTGGTCGAGATATCTGGGTAGATTGCGACAACTTCATCTAGCTTCAGATCCTAGTAGCAGACCGCTCTGATAGGTTGAATCGGAAAAATTATGTGGCATGTGTTCTTCCTCCGTGCAACCTTATTGAAACCTTCTCACTACTTTTCTACCAGCCCTATACAGTCTACCTACTTTTAGGATCCGGAGGCATTGAAGAATGCTTCTTCTTCTTGCTCTCCTTCTCCTTCCCATGACCTTCCTTTCATCCCCCACCGAAGCCATTGCCGTCGACCAGATGGAGGAAGGCAGAGTAGACAGAGGCTCACTGTTTTAGGATGGTTTTTTCGAAATATTAAAGATTAGGTTAATTTGTTATTTTTGAAGCTTTAAGTGGTATGTAGGTAAAATCGCATTTGATTTGAATAATTGGATCTTTTCAAAATCTGCATTTGCTCAATTTTAATGCACAATATTTAAATTTGATGAAGAGAGGATCTGCGTATCAAGCATCACTGAAGTTCCAATACAAATATTTTTTCCTAGTTTTTCAAAATAGAATATATTCTTAAATGAAAATTAAATCTCCCTTGAGAAGAGAAATGTCTTCTAAACAATCAAATTATTCATCCGTCCATTGTTGACATGGTCTCTCAGATCCAGGGAGGCCCCCAAAGACGTATTTGGTCATCTTTTGGCCTCTAGCATTTACGCAGCTGGGGACCATAAATAATTAATTTATTTGATTTTAATAATAATTTTCCTATTAGCTCTTTGAACTTTTAATTTAGTTTTCGTAAACAATTACTAGTGTCAAAGTAATTAATCAACTTGGACGAAGCATTAAAAACTAGCTGGAGTCGCTGCATGTAGGCCCAACAAAACAGTTCTCTATCGATGGTTTAAAAAATAACTCCTGCAGTTGCTTAGAGGCTTTGAAGATTCAAATTTATCTAATCAAATCAGGTTTTCTTGATGATGACAGTCAAATAGTTTTATATAATCTTTTAACTCTTTGTAGTGATTATTATTTTTTATTATTTATTTAAGATTAAATATATTATTATTTTTAAATATGACTAGAATCTAAAAATTATAAGAGCTTCTTATATGTTTTTTATTAAATAGTATTTAAAATCTCTTACCACATAAAAGAAATAGAATCAATTAAGAATATAATATTATGCAATAAATGAGACAAACAGACCTACGAAGGGTAAATAAATCCTGCTTGCCTCCATTCATATAACTGCATATTCCCAGCTCATTATTAAAATAGCGCTGTGCTTCTTCGCATTTCTTATACTTTTCTATTTTCTTTCTCACAGTTGAAGCTCCTCCATTCCGCCTTCCGCATTTCAGAAACCATGGTTGCCAGCAACAATTCATCCAGTTTTGTTACGACACTACTTATAATTTCAGCTTTCTTTCTCAACTCCTTAATTTCCATGGCAACAAACACCCTCTCTCTAGGCCAATCCCTCTCTGGAAACCAGACCTTAATCTCCGAAGATGGCACCTTTGCTCTCGGCTTATTCAAACGTGGCAAACCTTACAGATTCTACATAGGCGTCTGGTACAACAAGCTCCCAGGTCAAACGATAGTCTGGGTAGCAAACAGAAAAGCTCCCATCTTTGATCCTACAAATTCAAAGCTTCAAATCTCAGATCTCGGCGATCTCGTCCTCCTCAACAGCTCCAACAATCCAGTTTGGTCATCGAAATCCACGGCTAAAGCTGCCATAGCTATCCTGCTTGATACAGGGAACCTTGTTCTCAGAAATGGTTCAAACTCAGAAGTTGATATCTGGCAAAGCTTCGCTCACCCGACGGATACATGGATGCCTGGGGGATGGCTTGGTGTGAACAAAGTCACCGGAGAGTACCAGAGCTTGACATCATGGAAGAGCCCTGAGGACGCTACACCCGGTTTCTTTGGGCAGAGCATGAACCCTGATGGCTCAAACGAATATGTTTTGATCTGGAATGGATCAAACATCTACTGGAGAAGCGGTCTATGGAATGGCCAGTACTTCGCTAACGTTCCAGGAACCAGAGAAAACACGGTCTTCAACTTTACTTTCGTTGACAATAAAGATAGCAAGTTTGCCACATACACGATGAATGTGAAAAGTATACTTACTCGATTTGTAGTTGATTCTGAGGGGCAAGGGCTGCAATGGTTTTGGATGAGCACCACACAACAGTGGCAGACAGAGTTCACCCAGCCTCTAGCTCACTGTGATGTCTACTCTCTTTGTGGACCTTTTGGAATATGTGATGAAATGAATCTTGATTCGATTTGCAGGTGTGCTGTTGGTTTTATGCCTGCTTCAGAGCAGGAATGGGCAGTCAATGACTGGAGTTGCGGATGGTCGAGGGAATCTCTGTTACAATGCAAAAAAGATGGATTTCTTCCGCTGTATAACACAGGAATGGGCAGTCAATGACTGGAGTTCAGGATGCTCGAGGAAATCTCTGTTACAATGCAAAAAAGATGGATTTCTTCCGCTGTATAACATGAGGCTACCTTCAAATATTCCAGAGAGATTGAAAGTGATGAATGAAGTGGAATGCAAAGAAGCTTGCCTGAACAACTGTTCTTGCACCTCTTACGTTTATGACACAGATTGCTCAATATGGAAAGAGGAACTCAGGAACCTTCAGCAAACTAATGATGGTGGTGAGAAGGGAGGAACTCTATACCTCCGCCTCGTGGCATCCGATATCCCCACTTCTAGCAGCTCAAAAACAGTTGTGGTTGCTGTAGTTCTTGGACTAGTTGCCGGAGTTGCTGTAGTCTTGATAATTGCTTTCACTCTCATATGCCTAGGCAGAAGAAGGAAGGGAAGTGCCCAGGCCGCAAAAGCAGAAGGATCTTTGGCGCGGGTCAGCTGCTAAGAACTTCACTGAAAAGATTGGAAGTGGAGGATTTGGCTCAGTCTTCAAAGGAACACTTCCTAACTCCACATCAGTAGCCGTCAAGAAACTTGAAGATGCAAGGCAGGGAGAGAAGCAGTTTCGCGCTGAAGTTTGCACTCTTGGCGCAATTCAACATGTCAATCTGGTTAGACTTCATGGTTTCTGCTCTGAGGGTAGCAAAAGGCTTCTTGTCTACGAGCACATGCCAAGAGGCTCTCTTGATTCCCAGCTTTTCGGCGATAGCTTCACTGAGCTAAACTGGGAGCTAAGGTTCCAGATCATTTTAGGAACAGCAAGAGGATTGGCTTACCTTCACGAGGAATGCAGGGAACGCATAGTTCACTGTGATGTAAAACCTGACAATGTGCTACTGGATGCGGATTACAACCCCAAAGTTTCAGACTTTGGAATGTCCAAGCTTATTGGAAGAGAGTTCAGTAAGGTTTTGACGACAATGAGAGGCACTGTAGGCTATCTTGCACCAGAATGGATTGCAGGGCTACCAATCACGCCGAAGGTTGATGTGTATAGCTATGGAATGATGATCTTTGAGGTGGTTTCTGGTAAGAGAAACAACATGCATTCTGACGAGGGATGCCTGGCATTCTATCCTTCATGGGCTGCAAAAAAGGTTGTGGAAGGAGACGTTAAGAGCTTATTAGATAAGAGATTGGAAGGTGTTTATGTGGAACAATTGACAAGGGTATGTAGACTTGCTTGCTGGTGTATTCAGGACTCGGAGGATCTGAGGCCAGGAATGCGGCAGGTTGTTCAGATACTGGAGGGAGCTTTAGAGGTGAACATGCCTCCTTTGCCAGCTGCACTTCAGAATATCATAGGTAGTTGGAATCCTTCTGCGGTTTATTCATTCAGAAAAGATGATAAGGGTGAAAGCAGGAAAGAGATCAGCGAAGAATCCTATGTGAATGATCAAGATGAAGCAACTACCGTGACTCGCTAATCAAACAAATAGATTAGCTTTGCTGGTGATTGTTTGTGTTATCTCTGTGTTTTGTTTGTTAGGATCATGTACAGCTTATATATGCATATAACATGTTTCGGTAATAAAAAGAACTTGTAAATGGAGGTGGTATAGTAATTGAACTGACTTTGGTTTTTATCAACTTTTTGGTTTAGAATAAACTGATAAAAAATATTTTTAATTTATTCGTTTAGTTGATGAGAATCATTATTAAGTGTTTTTCTTAGAAATAGATATTGAAAATAGGTGGATGAATTATTTTCATAAGCTTTTCACTATGTTTCTGAAATACGATCCACCTTAGTGATTTTAATATCATTATTATTAAAAAAAATTATATTTGTACCGTCGCATTAGTAAAAAAGAAGTGGAGGCTTTAAGGAAAACTAATGGTGAAAAATCAGTAAGACTTGAAGATATCCCAATTTAAGTGTGAAAATATTTAGGAGACTTGAGTGTTTCTTGGCTTACTAAACTCTATAATATTAGTTTATAAACAAAGAAGATGCATGAGTTGTGGAGAAAGAGTAGTTATGTTCTCATTTTTAAGAACAGAGGGGATGCACAAAAGTGCGCAAATTATGGAGGAATTACGTTGATGAGTGATACTTTAAAATTATGAGAGAGGGTAATTGAACATAGGTTTAAACGTATAACAGAGATATCTTATAATCAGTTTGAATTTATGTCGGGCAAGTCTACTATGGAAGCTATACATTTATTAAGTGGTTTGACGATGAAGTACTAAGAGAAAAAGGACAATATACAAATGATTTTTATTGATTTAGAAAATGCATACGATAAGGTTCCAAGAGAAGTCCTTCAGAGAGTTTTAGAGAAGAAACGTGTTGATTTGACTTGTATTCAAGTCAATAAAGATAAGTATATTGGAGTAGTTCATTGTTTTCGAATAGAAGGAAGTCTGATCAAGTATTTTCTTATATCAGTCGGATTGTGTCAAGAAATGACTTTAAGCCCATATCTTTTTTTCCTTATTTATGGATGCTCCTACTAGACATTTAAAGGAGGATGTACCTTGGTATATTCTTTTCACTGATTATATTCGTTTTATGGATAAAAATAGAGAAAGTGTTCAGAAGAACTTGAATTACAGAGGTCTACATTCAATTCTAAGAGCCATCATTTGAGTAAATCTAAAACTGAAAACATGGAATGTAATTTTAGTATTTGTAGATATAATGATAGAATTGTAATTATGGTTAATAAAATCTTTAAAGGGTGTGAACATTTTAAATGTCTGGGGTTTATTGTTCAAAGTAATGATGATATAGATGGGAATGTTATTAATAGAGATCAAGATAGTTGCATGAAGTGGGTGAATGTATCTGACCTATTGTGTGACAAAAAAGTATGGCTTAGACTGAAAGGAAAATATTATAAGATGGCAGTGAGACCTGCAATGCTCTATGGTGTAGCTCCATGTTGATATCACTTTTTGATGTCATACGCATAGAATGCCCGATTAGACACTATGGAACTGTGCTTGATGCATGTGTTGATTCTTGTAGTACAAGGGAACCATTTAAGACCCTCTGGAGCATGTTAAGTGTCATGTAGCCGAAATCACTCTACTAGACTCTAGTTGTCACTTGGTTGAATGCTTATTGGCATCTTATCTATCGAACTACTTCGATTAGCCTAATGAATCAAATCTCACATGGCACGTGAGAATCAAACCTAAATTGGCTCGATCATCGACTAATTTGTCTAGATGACTCATACACCTAAAATATATAGTATTTTAATACACATTTTATACCTATTTTTGAAATATTGCGCTTGAATGGAAGGTTTTTCTGTGTTTTTCTGTCAGGTACAAGTAAAAAGGTGGAAAATACTAAAAGAAGTGAAAAGTATCAAATTTTGGAGCAAAAATATAATAAAGGTGCAAAAGAGTTTTGGCGCCTAAGCGTCAGATCCGACGCTTATGCACCGGTGAAACAGAGAAGGCCGCGCCTAAGCGCCAAAGGCCCCGCGCTTAAGTGCCAGAGACAGTTAGTTGACTGTTTAATTCATTTTGCCAAATTTTGAAGGGACATTTAAGCACCTATTGGCTAAAGAGGGTGGTTATGACCACTAGAAATGAAAATATGATTAAAAGACTTGTAGAATGGGGCATCCCTTGGAGAATACATCGAATTTAGACACTGTTTGAAAAGTTACCAAGACACCTCTTAAAAATTTATAAAAGAAGGAAGTTGAGACTTTTAGAAGTGTGCTTGAAACAGTCCTGAGAAGTTTTTTTGGAGAGATTTTCGGGCACTATAAATTTACTTTATCCTTTTTCTTAGTTTTATTGTGAGAGTTGAGAGTGTTGTATAAGAAAAGAGATTCAAAAGAACTTCAAGAGTTTGGTGGAGGAATTGAGATAATTTTTATCTTTATTTTTGAACTATTTTTGGTTTTAATTGAAACTTCTTGTTAATTTGACAATGATTTCACTTTTAAATTAAAGTGTGCTTTTGATTTCAGTCTTTAAATCTATTCAAACTTTAGATTAGCCAATGTTCTTTATAACATCTCTAGTAAGGGTAAAGAATAATATTGCTCCTATTTGACACAACACGATTTGCATGCTTCCACAACATAGATCATATATTTATTACTGATTCATGATAAGGAGAAAGAAATTTTCATATTAAGTGTTTTTCTTTTACATAAACTCTAGTTATTTTTAGAGATTGTTACTGTTTTGTCAAAATATCAAAAATACCAAAAAGATTTGAATTTTAATTACTATAAAAATATCTATACTTTAAGTAATTGTCCTTTTTGAAAGAAAAAGTTTGTTGTTCATTAGTTCACATTGTGAATTTCCTTGTGGGTTCGATATCCAGGTCTTAATCAAAAAGTCATATATTACTTGATAACGATATGTATATCTACGTAGTATCCCAATATAAATATAAATTAAAAAGTTAAATTCTTATTTTCTCGAGGAACAAGTTTTTGGTATTGTTGCAAAGTAAGGAAGTATAAGTGAAAAATATTATCAAAGACATTGTTATATTGTTGTATATAAAAAGTCGGGATCAAGTTTTTGGCGCTGTTGCCGGGGAAAATTGATTGAAAGCAAATTTCTATTTTAGAAAGTCTTATTTAAACTTTAGGAGTTATTGTAGAAATGCATTATTATAGTATTTTATTTTATTTTTGTGTGTTTTATTTTATTTTATTTTATTTTTAGTGTATGCGTAGTTCAGGCTCGAAAGGACTAGTGTCCTACGATTTTGAATTTTAGAGAACTATTAAAAAAATTAGAAAAAACAAAAATTAAAAATTTTGAAAATCTAAAAAAATTACAGAATTGGCAAACCAAAATGATCAAAATACTAAAATTCATTAAGAATTTAGACCTTTAAGAGATTATGCCAACCCTACGGTACATGAACTTCATTGTAGTATTCAAAAGCCTACTATAGTGGCTAATTCATTTGAACTTAAACCTGCTATTATACAAATGGTATCAATTAATCAGTTTGGGAGATCACAAACTGAAGATCCAAACTTACTTCTTGTCAATTTTCTAGAATTATGTGTGATATTTAAATATGATGGTGTATCAGATGATGCCATAAGACTTAGGTTATTTCCTTTCTCACTAAGGGATAAAACTAAGATGTGGTTGAATTCGTTAGCACCAACATATATCAGAACTTGGGGAGATTTAGTCATCCCGAGAAAATACCGTTTTGTAAAAATTATAAAGTCGACCACGCTATGTAACGGTGCCAAAAACTTGATGCTCTATATATAATTAAGAAATTTAAGCAATTAATGTTGGGATTCTACGCAAGTATACATATCATTATCAAGTAATAAAGGATTTTCTATTTAAGCACCAAATATCGATCCCATGGGGAAGGTTTAAATTTGAAATGATAAATTAACTAGGAAATTAACAGAAAGTAAAATGAAATTACTGTCATTAATTTCAAAAATTGAGATACTATCAGAACTAAATCATTTAACTAATAGCAAAATTGAAATGCAAAGTTTAAATAGTAACTACTAAACTATTAAACTATGTTTATGTGATGAAGATTTCTTACGTGAAAAAGTATCTTTCTCACTACAATGAGATTTTGGTAAAACGAGATGAGATAAATGGTTAAAATATGTATTGTACCAAATAGGAGCATTTTAATTTTTTTACTCTGATACAGTGTTATAGAAAATCATTGGTTATCTTAGGTTTAGTTCCTAAATCTGTGGCTAGGCTAGTAGGATATTGGATCCCACTCCAGAGCTCCCATTTCCCTTCCCCTGAAGGCTAACTCTTGCTTTAGTTATTAAACACTAATACCGATTTGGGGATCTTTAGTCTATCACCCTAAAATCTCCAATTCTACACACAACAATGTATATTTCCCTATTTATTGACACTTAATTCCATGAAAAAAATTCTCCTTTATGGAATCAAATGTGATCCTCACTCTATTATAGAACTCATACTCCATTACTTAGATCATATGTTTCACAACAAAGTTTAATAATTCAATTGCCCAGAGCAAAAAGTAAATTAAGTTTAAAGTTGAAAAACCATCACAATTTATTTTATATTTTAACATTGGCAAATCCATATTTTCTGTTCATTTCACTATATCTCATAGTAGGAAGAAATATAAAGGAAACTACTCAGACTTCATGAGAAAGATACAACAAAACAAAAATTTCATATATAAAAAAATTTCATACAAAACTATTAAACAAAAAAAAAACTTATCTGAAACTCTGTCTCAAAGCAAATCCCTTGTAGCCTCTCCTATGAAATGTAGGAATCATATATAAATTTTGTTAATTATTGATTTTCAATAGTGGTAGAATATCACTTACAATATAATTTATTATATTGGCATACCACAGTACATTCATTTCATAAATACTATATAATTGTTCATCAGGGAAATTTTCTAAAATTTCATTTGCAAAATTAGTTAATATTTCTTTTTCTAGTCTAGACAAATGATCAACAATTTGATTATCATTTCCATTTCTATCAACTACGATAAAATCAAACTTTTACAAAAGAAGTATCCATCTAATTATTCTTGGTTTAACATCTTTCTTTTGCATCAAGTAATTAATAACAAAATAATC